TTTTTTGGCCTTTGTGCCTTTATTGGATAGTGTAGTCAGAGAGAGACAGGAAAGTAGGGGAGAAGAATGGGGGGAGGACATGTGCCAGCTCAACCAGGTGAGCTATAACAGCGCCCCATATGCCGTAATATATTTTTAAGCTCCTCCATATAAGTTTAGGATTATTACTGTGATATACTATTATAATAATCCTGTAAGACATGTGCAGCTGTGAATTTTTTCACACAAACGAGAGAGGTTTCATTGAGAAACCTTGGGTTGAATGACCAATCACATTTTTATTAAGCACTTAAATCACTTCAATTAGACAGGAACCACCAGAGAAGACTTTCATGTCACCATTTTCTGCAGACTTTAAACTGCCCATGTCGTGGACCAAATAATATTGAGCACTGCTGACAGGCTTTTGTGTGTCTGTAATGGTGCTCCACATAGAGAAATCTGACTGAAACATCTGGAAAAACCCTTCACAGTTTAGATGCTTGACATTAAAAGCACTCCTTAAGACTGATGCTTGGCAGATAATCAGCATGTTCTATTTGCACAGTATGTTAATTGTAGAACCATTGCACAACTGGTTAATCAGATCTTTATTTTCAGTCATTTAACAACCTTGTACATGTTTAGTCTTGCATAGCTGTAGAACACTTTCTGACTGTGTCAGGATATACATTATAGCAGACATTTAAAAAAAATAAAAGTAACAACAACAAGAAAAAATCAATAACAGATGGCAATCTATATCCGTTATTCTAAATGGGTCTTCTACACTTCCTGTTTACAAGATCTGCATAGTTTACAGCAAATTATTTTTCAGTGGGATTCTCTATAAAAATCCAGATCTTATCTGGGTCTGCAAACATCAATACATTTTGTTTATCTTCCATCTTTTTTTTTTTAAGTGGAAGATTTGACATTTTTCTTATCCAGTGTTAAAGAGTTGAGTCTGTACATTTTTTTTTTTTTTTTTAAACAAAGCTATCAACTTTTCAGCATTTAGAAAACCAATATTCATCAATATTTGGTTACCTTTGTTATAGTTTTGTTCTTTTGCATATAGACTGAGTAGAACAAAATTAAGGTTCTAATGAAATTCTTTTTGAAGTGATCTGACCTCTTCCTAAAATGCGTGTCTGTGCTGCCAGCCACGGTTTCCTTTGAACCTCTTTGCATTTAGTGCACATGTCTGGTAAATATTTATTGTACTGATTGGCACTGAAAAGATCATGTTAGAATTAACAAAAGAAACTTGAGGTTTAACTTAAATGACTTGAGTTCTGAAGTAAGTAATCTACTCACTCAACACACTCCAAAAAAAAAAGAGAACCAGTTTAGCTGAAAGGTAAACAGTGAATGAAACTGGACACAGAGCTGAAACCCTCAATGCACCTGGATCAGGTATCTGATTCATACACTGTGTCTGCTTCCTGGTGGTGTAACTACTTTTTTTATTTTATTTTTTTAAAAGTTAAAAAAGCAAACAAACAAAAACAAAAAAAGGTGAAAAACAGCTCTCATCAAAACACAGTAATTTTCCGTTACTAAAATAAACATTTTCTGGAATTGATTTTACAAAAGATCATGTTTATTTTTTGGACTTTTAATGTTTAATGATGAATGAAGGACATCTGCATATTGCATTTTGCATTCCATATGTAAATTCAGTCTATTTTTGTCAAATTAATTAACATTGTAAGTACATTTAACTGGGAAAGGATGTAAATGGCTTACATTTGTATTTTATGTAATATTGTGGGGTTTCAACTGAAATATTTTTATATTCTTCATTTTTTTCATATTTAAACTTGTTAGGTCAATTTCCAATGTCAGCTTTATTTCTCTTTTGAAAATAACTTTGGCTCAACAGCAGTTGTTTCAAAATTTCAAATAATGACTTGAATTAACTCCACTTCAAAATCAAATGCAAGAATTTTACTTAATTGTAATTGTACTTTGTTGAAATACTATATTACTTCCATATTACTTATTTACTCCATTAATTATGATAACATACTGCACATAAAAGGGTATTCTCTACTTTACAATATCAGCACTAAATACAGTCAGTTAACACACCTCGTTAACATAAAAGCTCTTCAATCTGAACTTCTGACTCTGTTACACACGAAGCTCTTTTTGTGATATATTACAATATATGTCATTTTCATTTCATACCACCAATAACTGAACCATGTTAATGTTCCAAATGTTTTTTCTAAAACTGAACTTGACAATGTTTACTGCTCTGGAGAGGCCATGGCCAATGGCCCAGAAGAAACCACAACCTTCGATTCGCTCTTCTCCTGGCTCACAGCTTCCACATCTCTCTCTGCAGACAAACATACAAAAACACAGTCAGGTTTAAGGACATATTTGCTTCAGATTTTTACAGATCATAAATTCATCTCTTACTTCTCCTGAGGCACATTGGTTCACATCTGGCACCGGGAGCATTGTAGCACACAGCTGTACTGCAGTGAATGTACACCTGAACAAGGAGAACAGTGTTGGAAGAGAAATACAACCATGTTGTGCTGCAGTATTTCTGTATCCATTAATATATAATTATTACCATTTCCCTCAGAGGTTGTTCTGAACTGGGGTTCACGAAGGTAAACATTTTGAAAATGAAACGTCTGTGGTGACTTGGGAACTCCAGACCAGAGGACTGATCCACTGGAACCAGTGAGGACAAGTAGCGATCGTCCCTGCATGGACATCTGGATGGAGAGCAGTTTAAGTTGTAAGATATAATGGTTTAGTCTTTCTTTCATTACACTGTTCCCTATTCCTTGTGAACAGTCATGACAGATATGTTTACTGATAAAAACTGAACATGTCACCAGCAACAGAACAGTGTAAACTGGTATTTAGTTACCCGTCTGTCAGAATGTTCCACTGGGGCAGGCTGTGAGGGTAGGGGTCTGCAGTTGCCCAGCAGCGATCAAGAGTCAGGACAAGCAATGGATCTGTCTTTCCAAGGAGCTGAACCTCCACATACACGGGGTCCCTCAGTACTTTGCTCACAGGATAGTCTGCCTCCGTATAGAAAGAGCTGTAGGCCGCAGTCACTGTGAGAGCAGATACACCAGTTATTACACAGCTAACAGTATGAACAGATCTACAAACAGAGTGACTCTGCCAGGCTGACGCACACTTTACCTTCATTACAACCCTTTGTGGTACATTGCCCATTGGCCAACCTCATCTCTACCCTGATGGGTCCCAGACTAACAACCGGTTGAGGAGGTTGCTGAAGTGGTTCAACTTCTACAATCAGAGTTTCGACAGATGTGCCGGTGTACCTACACTGGAAGAGCAATCTGGAAAAGAGAGCAGACATTATGTTGTTTAGTCAGAACATTTATTTTATACTATAACAGTCTCAAAATGATCACCTACTCATAGGAGCTGTCTCTGGTAATGGCTCCACGAGGCCCAACTTCCACTTCATAAGCCGAAGTCATCCTGTTCTCATAGATGATAACACCAGGCTCCTCCTACAAAATGTAAGAAAATGACAAATGGGGCAGAAATTCTTACATTTTTATCATGTTGATCGAAAAGTAGAGAAAATCAAGATCTTACCATGACAAGGGAGCCACAGGCACTAACAGGAAATTGGTAGATGGCAAATTGTGAATTCGAGTCAACATGCGAGCAGCCTTGACCTTCTCCCAACAGTGAGACTGCCTCGAGGTCAAGGTTGGGTAAAGTGGCTTCTTTGGCTACTACAACAATGAAGTGGCCATCCTTGGTGCACTGGACAGTCACTGATGGAACAAAAACAGGCAGTGGTGAGCTGAATATTTAGATATTAATAACCAAGGAAAATGCAACATGACAATGAGTTTTAGTGTTAGAATACAAACATTTGATAATTAGCTCCAAGTGGACAAAATAAAAATTTCACGTTGATGCTGCTAAACGTTAATTTATTGAATTACGAACAAAAAGGGTATCTTTAGTGCCAGCACCAAACGTCACAGCAGTCAGTACAATATTTGGCAAGATATACCCCCTCTTTCCCAAAGTGGTGACTCAATGATTATTACCATATTAGTAAAATTTGGTTCAGCACACGCTGCCATGCATTAATGCGATATTCAAGCAACATTGTTTCTGAAACTCACCTGCTGTTCCAAAGTAGCACTGTTGGCCGTCAAAGCAACAACTAATGGATTCGCATGCAGCAGCAGAAATATCGCTACCTCCACATGGGACTCTCTGGCTCTGTGTTACCTCACAGCTCTGGAGAGCAGGCTGCTTTGGTTGTGGCTCCTGCTGCTGCTGTGTTTTCTGTGGGTTTGGTTGAGGGGCATGTGGGTCTTGTGAAGACTGTAATGCAGGCAAGGCATGATGATATCCAGTATCCACTGATCCTTGAGAATGTTGAAGAAACGATGGCTGGTTGGGATTTTGAAGCTGTGGCCTGTGTTGAAAATTTTGAGGATTCAGCTCTGAAGTAGTTTGAGAGTACAGAGAAAACTTTGGGGGTGAAGGCTGGACCTGTGCCGTCTGACGGTGTGAAGGAGTCTTTGGTGGGGGACGCTGGACCTGTGATGTTTGACGGTGCAGAGGAGTCTTTGGTGGAGGACCCTGGATCTGTGGCATTTGAGGGTGTGGAGGAGGTGTTGGAGGCAGGACCTGTGGTGTTTGAGGGTATGGAGGAGGTGGTGGAGGATGCTGGGTCTGTGGCATTTGAGGGTATGGAGGAATGTTTGGTGATGGAGGCTGAACCTGTGGGTTTTGAGGTTTTGAAGGAGTCTTTTGTGGGGGACTCTGGACCTGTGACATTTGTGGGTATGGAAGAGGCAGTGAAGGAGGCTGTTCCTGTGGTGTTTGAGGGTATGGACGAATCTTTGGTGGTGGAGGTTGAAACTGTTGCGTTTGAGGGCGCAGAGGACTCTTTGGTGGAGGAGGCTGGATCTCTGGTGTTTGAGGGTATGGAGGAGGTGGTGGAGGACGCTGGACCTGTGGCATTTGAGGGTATGGAGAAATCTCTGGTGATGGAGGCTGAATCTGTGAGTTT